AAGCTAAAAAAATATATTACATTACGTAATTACTTTTCTATGCTTCTCTCTCACCAAACTCCCTTACTTTCCTGCTTAAGATTTGTAATCATGCTTCTGCTTCGAATCTGATTCTCCACTCAGCTTACCGCTTCACTTTTATTATTCTCAACTTTTACTTCCACTAGCTTCCTTAAAACTCGCCTTATTTTCCTCTACGCTCCGAGTTCTCTTATGATTTTGCTCTCTTCTGCCTTCTGCGCCCCGCTCTACTCTGCTTCATATTCTGTTTTTTGCTCTGCTTTTGCTTAAGCCCTCTACCAAGCTTTGCCTTCTACTCGCGCTTTGGCTCTTAACCTATCTGTCCTTTCCAGATCTGCTCTTGGTTCTCATTTGTAGGCAGAAGAAGGTGAAGTTTCGCACGCCTCTTCTTCCTCCTTCGGTCGATCCCGTGCGGGTCTCTTCTTCTTCTTTTCTGGTGTCTTTCGGGCTTCCAGAGGCGTACATGCCTGTTTTATCCTGATATTTTTTTTCTTTCTTCAAAATGGTGCCATTTTGGCTTCTGTTTCTCAGCTTCAAAACAACATCGTTTTGAGTGTTGATGGGTTAGGTTTAACTGCAGATTTGGGCCTGGACTTCTACCTCATCTCTTCTTTTCTCTTCAGACTTTTTTCTCCTCTTTTCTTCATCAATGTAACATGCATCAAAAGTTTGCTTATAAATTGATTTTTTAACTCAAAATTCATTCAAATTTCTTACAAAAATAAGTAATAAGAGCATAAAAAATATGATAAATATATAGCACCTTATTCTCCTCCATATGTGTTTCTTTATTCCTCTCCTTATCTTCTTCTTCTTTACTCCTCTCTGTCTCCCCTATATCCTGCAATATCTCTTGCATTTCTAAGCCCTTTTTATTTATCTTCTTTATATCTTTCTTGGGACGTCTCCTCTTTATCTAGCTTCTCTCTCTCTCTCACACACACACACACTCTATTCTCAATCTCTCTCTTCGATTCCTTATTTCTCATCTTTATCTCGTTCCTCAAGCTCCAGAATATACATATGAAAATAAAACTTTATACATATGAAAATAAAACTAACCCATAAATGAAGCAATGGAAGAAGAGGGATTTTACCTAATAAATCTCAACTAACAAGTTCTAGACTTCATGAGCTTAACAAACGAAATGGTCGAGTATTCGAGCCTATGATTATAAGGGAGAAAGAAGGAGTTGAGATAATGTTTTGAATAGTGGTTCAAATTGGCAAATATTAGAGTGAAATCTAGTAAGTGACAATCAACAAATGTTCCTTATTTGCTTTAAGGAGGAAAAGGTGCGTCCATAACCTAGAGGCCAAGAAAGGAGATGGAAGCAAGAAATGAAAGAGTAACTTAGAGATAGATGACTGATAAGAAGGAGGCACAGCGATAAAGAAGGGAAATAGAGCAAGAAGAGGCGTGGGGTGAATAAGGAAAATGAAGTATGAGGAACCATAAGATGAAGAAGGGAAATGAAGTAAGACGAGGTCCGATGATGAAGGAAAGATGGAGATGAGAGTGTAGCCTGCGAAGGATGAAGGAAGTTGCAGCTTCTTATGAATGGTGAGAAGTTGTGCCATGGTTGAACAATGAGAAGTTAGAACATGTGGGATGATGAAGGAACGCTACAAACAAGAGTAGGACAAAGTTTTTTTTTTTTTTTTTTAAGAAAAGGGTTTGGGTCTTTAAAATGAGCTAATACGCTAATCATTTAGCTAGATTAAATAAATTGGGCTACAAATATTTTAATGAGCAATAGATCTATACCAATGAAAAAATTACGCTGAAAGGTATACAATTGAAATTGTTTGTATAGTTGAATTTGTATTAACAGAAATGGATCCATAAGTAAAAGTTGAACATTTACAAAGAATTTGCATTTTTATAGTGTAACTTTTAACAATGAAACTGTATTTATTATTAAAAGTAGACTATACCAACAAAAACTAACCTTAAAAAAATAGTTTTACGTTTGTACATGTTTAACATTTAGTAATGGGTACCGTATATTACTAAAATTGTCATTATTATAAATTATTTGGGCAACTTATTTTTCTTTTTTTAAATAATATATTATACAGAAGTATATGAATATAATTAAAATTTATAGTATATTTTAATTATAACATAATTTTGTTTATTACCCATAACGTTTAGCTAATTCTACTTGAAGAGTACGTAAGAGTGAACCTACCTAACTAATTCTACTTGAAAAGTGAGTAAGAGTGAACCTACTTAAATAATATATTAATAAATTTATCTAATTTTAATAGTAACTATTTTATTTTAATCACATTTGTTATTAAAAAATTTAAACTATCTAAAGTTGAGAATGGATCGTAGGATATTAGTACGAGAGACATCTCTTTAATTATCCATGTACCTCTGTATAATATGTTATTTTTAAAAGTTGGATGTGAGAAGAAAAAAATAAGGTATCTAGCCTAATCATATAAACTTCAAGTAACATGGTAGGCTTTTAATTATCTCCGAAAAAATTTGATGTAAGAGTTTAACATATAGAGATTTTAGGTAGAGTTGTTTACAAATTAAGGCTCAACTTCATTTGTCTTGCCGACAAGGAAAAATCTTGAAAGCGTTTGAAGCCTAGATGAAAACTAACACCATTTTCACTTCCTCCCATCAAGCCTAGGAAATAATCCAATAAACAAATTAGTGATCATTTGGAGGGGGCAGAGATGGGCCAAATAAATAAAACGACGCAGTTTTCAAGGCTTAACGTAAAATAATAATATTCGACCACCTGGGCGTCGATTGTTGCCTGCTTCATCGGGCTCTTAGGGTTTCTCAAGCAAGGCCTAAACCCTAGTATTTTTGCGCAGTGGCCGAAGGAAAAGCTCTACGCCTGTTCAAATTGAAGTTCCCTCGAGAAATCGAATATTATAAAGAAGAAGGAAAATGGGTAAATGCCCGAACCGAAAGGTGAAGAAGAGGAGGTTATCACACAAGACTGCTCGCCGCACTAAATTTCTCGTCAAAGATATCCTTTCCTTTTTTCTTTTTTTCGTTGTTTACTCTTCATAACTCTGCTAAGTTCTCTTCTTTTTCCATTGGATTGAAAATTTTGATTAAATCACACTTGCGTCTCTCCTTGACTGCAAATTTGTTCACGCGAGGACGCCGTTTATGAGGAGCTGCAGAAGCCGGATTCAGACAAGAAGACCCTACCCTTTGACGAGAATTTACCGGGCATGGGTCAATATTATTGCATACACTGCGAGTAAGTTATTTAATCACCTCCTACACGTGAATTTATCGCATCCATCTTCGTAGACTGGTTGCTTTAGTATTATGAGAAATAGAGAAAAATACAAACACCAGCAGCTATTGGTTTTAGTTTTTGGAGATTTTTGGAAGCGAAAATTCTGCTTAAGTATGCTTCTGAACGGTTTGGTTCATTTGATTTAGTTCTTGTAAATTATTTTTTAAGTTTACAGTCCGTGATTTTTCTGACGGGCAGTTCATGAAAATTCTATTTATCAAATGGTAAAAGAATATAATTGTGATGCTCATAGTATGAGACAGAACTATTCAAATTCTTTTTTGCATATAGAAGCACTTTATGATACAAACCAAGTCTTTTCAACTTGCTTCTAAAACTAAGTCACATTGACCCAAGTCAAGGGCACCACCAGGTTTACTTAGTTAGAATGATGTTTCAGATTGATGACTACCGCCTGATTTAGAACAAATCAGGGACTGATTTCCGTACTAAAGAATATGGAATAAAACATAGAAACAGAGGAAGTGGACATAAAAACCTGATAAGGAACATGAAAACAAAAAGATCCATTAATTGATAAACTAGTCTGTCAAGTTGCTCTTTCAATTGAACATGAGTATGATAGGCGCCTCAACTTCCTCCTTCTGTTCAACTTCTTACGTGAAAGTTTATTGTCATCAAATGTTGCCTTTTTTGAAGGTCGATATTTGCTCATCTTTTCCGTGGTCGTTGGTTTCAGAACTACATTCTTTCTACCAAACCTAAGATGACACTTATTTATCATCATGCTAAATATATCGATCAAATACCCAATATCAACCTTGAAGAATGTGTGAACATTCTAAATGCTACTTAGCAAAGGATTGAATCATTGTGAATCAAGAGATTGTTTAGTTACCAAAAT